GTTTTCTTTTTTAATGAGGTTAACATTTATATTGGTTGACTTAGAGTACAGCAGATTACTCTCCATAATGTGTGTGGGCCTCATCCAATCAGTTGAAGGTCTTCATAAAACAAAGACTGAGCCTCTCTGAGCAAGAAGAAATTCTGCCACCAGATTGCCTTTGGACTTGAACTGCATCTCTTCCGAGGGGTCTCCAACCTGCCTACCATATAGATTTTGGATTCCTAAGCCTCCACAATCGCTTGAGTGATTTCCTTAAAATTAATCTCTTTATGTTTATATACATATCCTACTGGTTCTGTTTCTCTGAAGAACTCTAATACACTTGCTCTGTTAAAGTCAGTTTAAAGATTCTATAATAACGAAACGGAACAAAGTATCAATCCCACAGTTTTATTTGTAAAGAACAAAGCATGAAAAGTCATATTTAAATGTACTCCAAAACCTGAAAAACCCACGTCAGTTTCTCTGATATGTATGCTAAAGTGCTTGATATCACAATACTGGTCAAATTTTATATTATGTTCAGGTGGGGGTGGGGGGGAAGTCCAGTTCTGATGCATTTTGTTAACAATACAAGGAAAAACAATATAACTTAAATGCAGAAAGGCTCATTTGTTAAAAACATACACAGGTACATTTATACATGGTTCCAGTGTAACATAGAGGACTTTTTCCATGTGTTAAACACCTTCCGTTGATTGACAACAGGAACTCCTTACCATTTCCCTCTGTCAAGATGTGGTGTTTGGAATAAAGACTGGAGCCATACATAATACATTCAGGTAACTGAATCAAGCATTATTCCCTCCCATATAACCCAAGGATACCCTGGATTCCTTCAAATGAGGGGATTTTTTTCTTCTTCCCCAAAAGAGGGGAAATCTTTTGATGATATTTTTCACTCTGGTATTAGCTGCTCAATGTGGTATTTTTCTGGAGCCAATCTCTATTTTGCCCTTGAGAGGACAGTCGGTTCTAGTAAGATTTGAAGGGATGAGGTTCTCTTGGATTCCTCCGATCACAGTCCAACACCCTCTTCAAAAAGCTTAGAAATCAGTTTGATTCAAGAAACTTATATATAGGAATAAGGGGCCGAATAGCTTATTACTTGTTTCTATCTTCTTTTAAGCTAAATGGAAATGTAATAAATACTTACATAAGAAATGAGGATTTCGAAAGACGCAGATGACCTGGAAACAGGATTCACTTTATAAAAAGTAGAGAGGAGGTGAAGACTCCATTCTCATCCGCGAAGGTGCTAATACTGAAATCTAAACAGCGAAGGTTCAGACTGTCCTTCCACGTGGTGAAAAGGAGCGACTGGTTTCTGTAAACCTCACAGAGAAAGTACTCACAGTTCTCAAAATAAAAACCTTCTGAAAAGCCACAATTCTCAGCAGAAGGAGATTCTGTTACTAAGAGTAACACACTCAGTGCCGTCAAATAAATATTTCCCTGGGGATCTGAGGTCCTCGTCTATTGCCTCATGTTTCGAAATAGCTTAGAGGTGTCAACATACACTACACACCAACTGTTATGCATAGTCTCTACCCCTTTCACTTACATCTATATACAACTGGGATTTATTGCCAAAAAAGGAAATAGAAGCAATTCCGTATTTCCCCTATGTCATTCATAGAGGGTGACAGAGTTCATTAAAGTGATTTTTGAAAAAGCCATGTGAAAGTAAATACCACAGGGTTACAAAAATTTCTGAAACATGGAAAGTAAATTTTAGAGGGAAATCACAAACTTCTACAAGTTTTAGGTTTCTTAGATCCAAGTCTTGCCCCCAGTGGAAAGAGGAGGGGGAGGGCTGGGAGACCCTACTTTTCTTCTTGGTGGCCTGTTTTCCACCACCTAGACCCCACTTTAACTCCTGGACACTGTGCCTCAGTCACTTTTAAGGTGCTGCTGAGCCTGGAGCGGGCACAGCTGTAGGGCCTCACACCAGTGTAATGCTACTGGGTCACAAAGGTTGAAGTTAGGAGTTTCAGGACACTTGAAAAAAAATGTTTTAAGAGGTGATATTTTTGGCAATTTAATTTTAAAACAATATCTTTTTAAGCTATTATGCAAAAATACTAATTATGGTTCCAGACATTAATTGTAACTTATTTTGAAGGGGAAAAGTCAATTACAAAATTGATTTTTATTTACTTTAACTTTGAGGTGTGATTATAAAGCAATATACTGATTTTAAAAATAAACAGAAAGGATAGCTTTAAATGGATATGATCCTTGCAAGTTAGCTTGTGAGGCTATGTACATTCATTCTCAAGATTCTGCCACTGTCCTGCTCAAAATAACTTGGTATTGGCTCAAAGACAATTATAAGCCACATAAGAACTAAATTGTATTTCTTTAGAGTTTTGTTTCTTTTTCTTTAGTTTTCAAAATTGATTTCAAAGAGAAAGGGAGAGAGAGAGGGAGATCGAGAGAGAGAGAGAGAAACATCAATGATAAATCATTGATTGGCTGCCTCCTGCATGCCCCACACTGGGGATCAAGCCCAAAACCTGGGCATGTGCCCTGCCCAGAACCGAACCGTGATCTCATGGTTCATAGGTCTACGCTCAACCCTGAGCCACGCCGACTGGGCTAGAGGTGTGTTTCTTATGTGACAAACTCTGCTCCGCATCCTTTTTATTCATCAACTTGGATCCTATGGGCTGCAGGCCTTTCAAGCAGCTCCTCCAGGGGCCCCGTGTCTGGAGAGCTGGCTGTCTCCCTGAATTCAGACAGATGGGCTCCCAAGGTGACCACTTCCAAGGGCCTAGTATTGTAGGGGCCTGTCCCTCTCTTTTGACATGCGTCATTGCACTGCTCTAGTCCTACTTCACAGAGCAGGACAGAACTTTAGGTAGAACTCCTTTGGGGCGTTCCCTTTTGAAGTAATGGTTTAATTCACAGACCCCAAATCCAATGTTCTCCCCGTTTTCACAACTTGTGAACAATTTGTTAAAATGAATATTAATCCCTATAAATGAGTATCAGACATGAATATGAATCCTAGTTCCTATCTGTGTGAGTGCATAAAGATCCAAGAGTAGAGAGACTACTCAGATGAACGCCCCGAGGTCAGTCTCATGCAACCTGGTGTAATTAAAAATCGTGAATCCTGGACCCTGTGCCTTCGCTGACCAGCTGTGGGAGTATGTAATCTCTTTAATCTCTAAGTGTTCACATCTATAAAATGAGATGGCTGGACTAGATGACTCAATCAGCTACGACGCCTCCCTGGTTGCCCCGAGTGCGTCAGAAGCATGGCCTCATGGGAAAGAGGGGGAACACCGCCCCCCCATGGATCAGCGTATGGCTTCTGATCCCCGAAACGCAGTCTGAGCCTGGTGTCAGCAGGTTGAGGATGTCTCCCACTGAAGAATTTCCTTGTGCCTGAACAGCCACGCCACCAGACACATGTTAGCCTCGGGCAAGCGAATCTCTGGGCCCCAAGTCACACAGAACCATCTTCTTAACCCCTTTCCATGGGTTTCTAGATGCATCAACCCCCCTTTTCTCCCCGAGACCTGAGCCACATATCACAGGGGGTGGGCCTCGCTGCCTGGCTGCACACGGTGTTTATAAAGGGAGGGAGGCACTTGTTTCATTCGTTTCTTCCTCCAGGAAGTAAGGGAGACAACATTGTAGGCTCCAGCCCGGGACCCTCAGATCACAGGGTCCTGTGGGCCATGGCTTTGCGTTTCAGCCACAAATGGGAAGACAACCCCCAGCTCTGACGAGCACATTCACAGCCAGCAACGTGCAGGCGCTCATTAGAGCAACAGGACCTGCTCTGAGGGAGACCGAAGGTGAAGAGCTCACACCACGCTTATTTGACTGCCTGATAGAATCCCCAACTGGAAAGTGACGCACAACATTCGGTCTTTCAAAACGGCTGCCTCTGGTGTGGTGAGCGTTTTGCCCCTCTGTGCTGCGCTGGCTTTTTACCTCCTCTGGGCCAGTTGTTTCATGTTATCACCCCTCTTACAAAGGAACAGAAAACTTGCCCTGAAACACCCAGAAAGGGACCATTCTTTCTCTCTCCTTCTGTTATTTGCATTATCTTGGTCAACAAATACTTTCACAAAAACATTCCAAGCCACACTGAGCCCTCCCGCTTCTCAGACATTCCTTCCATTTCCTGAGAGGGGGCTGGGCACCGGGGAGGGGAGGGGGTGACGGGAGCCAAACAAAGACGGGCTGACGGGGATCCCTCCCTCCGAGGTGAGGGACCACTGCCGGCTCCGAGGGCCCAATAAAAAGCACAGGATCAAACGCCTGCTTGCAGTTGTTATGACTGTGACATCTGCCCAAAGTACCTCCAATAACATGAATAAAAATGCTAGGAATGAAGTCAGTCTAGGCTAATCTTTCCACAGAGTAAAGAAGTCATAATCCCACCATTTAACACACTTCTTGGGGCTTTGTGTGCTGTCTACCCAGTTAAGCCAAGCTCCTAGGGTTCAGTATTTAAAGTATTTGAATTATATCTTCATCTTGTGCCTAAGGGGGGAAAAAAAGACCTGCCCAAAAGAATGGGAAAGTGACTCAATTCATACGTATGAAACCATTTGCAACTTAAAAGATACAAGTGCAGCCTGGCTGGTGTGGCTCAGTGGTTGAGCATCGACCCATGAACCAGAAGGTTGCCGGTTTGATTCCCAGGCAGGGGGCTGGATCCCCAGTGTGTGTGTGTGTGTGTGTGTGTGTGTGTGGGCCTGGCTTGGGGGGAAGAAAGTCGGGACGACCCATACAGTAGGCAGAGCTGTTTACATTCATTATACAAAGAGTCAGACCCCAGGATGGATGGCCACACCCTGCAATGCCTCTGGGCTCCGCTGTGATACCTGGAGGCAAGGAAGCCCAGTGGCTGCACTGTACGCGCACGCGTACTGGCTTCTTCCTGACTAGCACCGCTCTTCCCCGCAGCTCCCAATGCTTTTAAGCTACTTATTTTAAATCACAGGAATATTCAATCTAGGAAAAGTATCTTATTAGAGTAATATAATTTCTTAAAGAAGATAGCATATTTACACACATCTAACACATGAAAATACTCTATTTTATACTAAATTCCTGGTTCAAATGAACTACAATACAGCATTTTGCCTTGTCTGCAGCGTGAGGATTGTTCAAGTCGGGGCATTCGGTGCACGGCCCCTGCAGTGACTCACGACCGCGCCAGACAAGTCCAAATCGGTCCCGCAGACGGGGGAGGTGAGGGAGCCAGGGGTCTGGACTGAGCGTTTCTACCAGGGGTTACACGTCCACGCCTTTGATGAGAGATCCCTCCAAGACGATGGTGAAGTCCTGAATGGTCTGCAGAATGCGGATGAGGGAGTTGACGGTCATGCGGTCCCGCAGGAGGGCGCTCTCTTCGTACATTCGGGTGATGGCAGGACACTCGGCTAACAGCGGGATCCACTGTGGGAGCAGACGATCCCTGCAGGCCCAAACAGAAACAGGCCCTGAGTGTGGCTGGCCTCGCTGCGGCAGAACGCAGGAGCTGGAGCTCTCACCGGGAGGGTGTGGCCCGTGGGGCACATCCAGCCAAGCCCCGAGGTCAGCTGAGAGGAAACTCAAGCCAAGAAGCTGGATCTTTACTGGTGAAAAGGCTGCAGGAGTGAGACAGTGTAGGCTGACGGGAAGACCCATCAGAGTTTAAGAGTAGGCCATGTTGGCCATGAGGATTTCCACACATTAAGGAAATCCTCCATTCCGATTCTGCCACTTTTAGAAAGAGGCAGAATGTAATTTTATATTTCTTTTTTACAGGGGTGTTAGACATCCGTGGCAAGGCATGCCACCTTTTGGGAGGAAAGACTACATTAAATAGTAGGGATTTGCTTGTTTTTGTTTTGTTTTATAACTTATACAACATAATAAGGTAAGGAACAAAATCAAAGCAGAGCATTAAGTAGATTTTGTAAACCAAAAGAGAGGTTGCATTGGCCTAATAAATCAGAATAGTGAAGAGATAAAAGGAGATAAAGATCGTGTTCAAAAGGAACTTTAAAAGCTCAGCTGAACATGGGCCCCTTTTGTTAAGAAGAAATTCAGAACTTAGTTCTAGAAGCCAGATGAAGTCTCAGGCTACAGTGTTTCCTGATTAAACTCGACACTAATCACCTGTCACTAGGTACCGACCACATCTTACTAAGCACCTCCCAAGGCCTTCTGTGACAAGGACAGCCCTAACTAGACCATCCTGCACCTCTCCTTGGGCCTCCAGGGGTTTATGTTTTAAACTATGTTTTATTGATTTTTAGAGAGAGAGGAAGGGAGAGGTATAGAGAGACAGAAACAGCGATGAAAGAAAAACATCGTCCATCAGCTGCCTCCTGCACCCTCCTACTGGGGATAGAGCCCGAAACCTGGCAAGTGCCCCAACTGGGAATCGAACGAGAAACCTCTTAGTTAATGTGCAATGCTCAACCACTGAGTCACACCAGCCGAGCAGGACTCCAGAGGTTTAGAAGAAAGCACACACTGCACACAAAAAGCTTCTAAAGGTCTCTGTGTTTTATTTCTTACAATTATGAGAGCTGTTTTAAAATGAATGAGTTATACAGCTCATATGTGCCATTTTCAAGAAATAAAGGGGTAGGAAACTGTCTTAAAGAGAAGACTATATAGTAAGAATTTGCAATGTTATTAAATTTAATATGGTGGTGTATATATACTATAGAAGCTCTAGACAGTACATGTATATGTGTGTGTCAGTGTGTCTAATTATCTACCAACCTACCTGTAACTATTTACCTATCTTTGGATACTCGCTACCTGTAACTATTGACCTATCTTTGTAATGTGTAATGGTTGAGAGCCTGGGCTCTGGAGTGAGATGACCTGAATCTTGGCTTCACTCTAACTGTGTGAACTTGGGAAAGTCTGCTATTTGTGTTTCATCTATTTTCTCATCTACACAATGGGATACTGGCTGCTACTTCAAGTACTGGTAGTGGTGAACAGCAGGAGGATTCAATGAGATAATGTATGTAAAGTATACTTAGCATAGTGCTTTACCCAACACATGGCAAGTACCCAATAAGCAGTATTCTCATCATGAACCTTGGAATGAAAGAAACTCACGGGAGAGCTTTGGAAGGGGCATGGCCTGGTTTAACCCTTCCTGGACCCTTGTTCGACATGTAACAGAGACAGGGAAAGTCAAGAACTGGCTTCATACCGTGTTCCAAGGCAAACTAGAATCTGGAACTTGCCGTCCTTCCCGATGCTCCTGGGTGCAGTGTTAATAGCATTGACGTAATGGCAGAAGGTTTTGCAGGAGGGTTTCTGAATAAGGACATCATCTTCGTTGTCTAGAATCTGGTCAGTGGTTTCAAAATAAGCGACCGCTTTCTCTGCGGAAGTAAGTCAGAATCACATCACAATACACATCAGCACTTTGTCATAGAAAGACGAATCCACTAGGTTTACCTGGAAACACTAACGGTGCTTTGCATTAAAGCCAGTCCTGGAACCCAAATCATCATTTCACCATTGGTTTCACAATGAAGTCTAGAGGTCCATGTTTCAGGAATGTGCTCCTGGGAGTTTATTTTCTAATCTAGACTGCATTCTGGAAGGCTGGAAAAAGCTACTCTCTTTGGAAGAGCTGCTTGAAATGGAAATTGGCAAGAAGAAAAATAAAAACAGACTCCTCTATTGACTGGAACCTTCCAGGAGTAAGCAGCAAAGACACGGTAGCCACTGGGATGGGGACCCCGGTTCCAGCTGTAAAATGCCAGGCTTACCCTGCAACACAATTCTGAAATGGAACTGAACCAGTGAACTGGAGAAAGAGGTATGTGTACACATATCAGAAGCAGGAGCCATATTCCAGGCATTCTAGAAGGGAAAGAAAAAAATCACTCCTGGGGGCCTAATCTGTCAACTTTCCTTTCTTTGTCCAAAAATTCTAAATTAGATGAAATCAACTAGGCCTTATGTACAAAACATGAATGATTAATCACCCCTTTAAAGAAACTGGGAATTCTAGAAGAGCTGCATACCAAAATAAAGACGACCAAGCTCAGCAAGCTGGAGCAGACACTGGAGGGGACTGTGCCCCTGAAAGGTTCCCCTCTGTAAGGTCCCACCGATAGCTACAGGAGGGCTGGGTGGCTAAGGAGGTGCATTTTAAATGTAAATGAGGTCAATTTGAATTTAAATGGGCACCTGTGTCGAGTGGCTACCATATTGGACAGCACAGAGCTAGTGTCATCCTTCTCAAACACGTCACTCCTTATATCCAAACCTTCCAAATAACTTCCATTTCATTCAGGATAAAGACCAAGGTCCTTCCAAAGGCCTGGAAGCCCCTCACAACCTGTCTCTTGTAGTAAATACCTCTTCCCCCCCAAATCCTTTCTCTCCCCTCACTGCTCAGCCCGATCCCCCTACAATTCCACAGGATGGCCAGGCGCACCCCTGCCTCGGGGCACTTGCCCGGGCCCTTCTCTCAGCTGAGTGCCCTCCTCCCAGGATGCACAGGGCTCACTTCCACACTCCCTGAAAGTCTTTGTTCAAATGTCACCTTGTCAACAAAGCCTATAAACGCCCATTTACACTCCATTTCCTCTTACCTTGTTCTATTTTTTCCAGACAACGATCACCAAACATAACAGATGAATTGCATATTTATTATGTTGCTTTGTATTATTTGTCCTCCCTGCCCCCACCAGAATGTAAGTTTATCAACCACAGGAATTTTCGTGTTTTGTTAGTTGTATCTTTTGGTTGTTAATCCTCACCTGAGGATATTTTTTCCATTGATTTTTAGAGAGTGGAAGGGAGGGGGAGAGACAGTGAGAGAGAGAGGAACATCATGTGAGAGAGACATACTGACTGGTTGCAGGCACCCTGACCCAGGCCCCGATGGAGTCTGCAATCAACGTGCGGGAATCGAACCCAAGACCCTTCAGTCCACGGGCCGATGCTCTAACCACTAAGCCAGACTGGCTAGGGCTAGTTATATCTTGACATATATATATCTTGAGCATCTAGAATAGCGTCTGGAATATTGTGGGCACTATAAATATTTGTTGACTGAATGAAAAGAAAGGACAGTGCTTATTTGATATTTATTTTTTTTAAAAAAACATACTCCCTTAAAATGAGCCCTTACTATGCCCAATTCCTGGATCTTTGCGTTTTCTAAGAAGCATTTCAATGACCTTACACTGGCATCCACCTGCTTGAATTTACCTATGAAGTCCCAGATGAAGACGTTCTTGTGAAAGATGCGGGCAGACTTGAAGCCGTGGTGGAAAACCTGTTCCAGCGCTGCCACCAGGCCGCTCTCTCCGCACAGCAGCACCGTGAGGCTTCCTCTCTGCGGACACAACACAGTGCCAAACAGTGACCTGCTGCGCCTGCGCTTAGGAACCACGCCAGGGAGACAGGCGCTGAAGCGTGGGGCACGTGGCTGCAGCCATCAGAAAGCCGACGAATGAAAATGAAAGCACCTGGTATCGCCTTATGTATCGTGCGTAAAAGCGGCTTTAAAATCCTCCTGTACTAAGTTCATAGCTCATCATACCTCTTTTTCAGGTTTGTGGAAATGCTTCACAATGTTGTTCACAGCCTCTCCAATTCCTTCCTGGATCTGTCCGGCATTGGGCTCTGAAAAACAATAAACAGTGGCCGAATTCTCAGGCAAGGGAAATAAACCGAAGCGCTATGGGACAGCAACTGTGGCCACCTATGCAGGAAGCACTTCGCCAGCACAGGATGGCTTTGCCCGGGGCTCCACCGGACCTGCCCCGGGCCAGTCTGGCCAAGTGAGAGGCATCTTGGCACAACGGAAAAGAATCCAAGGGACCCCTACATTCAAATCCCAGCCTTACCGCGTGTCATCTATAACCTTGGTCAAATGTCTTCAGTCTAACAGGGAAAGTACACAAAATACACTTACCGCATGCAGGGGTCACTGGGAATGAGCTGTTCGGTGTAAATCGCCTGGCACGGTGATTTACGCTGAGGAGTGGGACAGGGGAGACCCACAGCTCATTCCTCAGGAACCCCACCCCGTACCCCACCTTCCTCCACGCTCCTTCGTGGGCACAGACCGAGGCTTCTGAGGTTCTTAAGGCTAACTTGGATTTGTGTTTTTTGCTGTTGTGTTTAAAGGAAAGGGGAGATGCCAGGTATACTGGGCGCCCTGCCAGAACTCCTTCCCTTCCTGGCTACTCACCCTACCCGGGCACCGCTTCATCCCCGGGCCAGCACTTGCTCTTCAGGCCCCGAGGCGGGGGAGGGCGAGCTTGGTGGGCTGTGTGAGTGGCATCTAAACTGCCTTTGCCTCTCAAACCCCAGGAATGGAAAAAATAAAAAAGTGATAAACAGGTTTCATCCAGGGATAGAAGTCAGTAACAAGAGAAAAATGATGGATTTGGTATTTTCTTGTGGTAAATTAACTACTATATTGATTTTACATGTCACACCATAAAGGACAAACCATTCATTCTAGTTTTTAAGAATCTCTAAATTCATTTTGTAGGTAACAACAAGTTTTTTCTATACCAATGAATAAAAATGGTTAAAATGGAAACTTCTTATGACAGAAGCACTGATGTTGTGGCTTCTTCAGCTCCTAGGAGTTTTTTCACTTTTACCATTCTCTGAATATTTTTTCTTTTAAACATGAAGATCTATTTTGAAAGCTTTTATCCATTCCAAAAGAGCCCTGCACTGACCAGCAGTATATTAAAACTGATTTAAAACTTTGAGTTCTGCCTGGCCAGTGTGGGTTAGTAGGTTGAGCACTGTCCCAAGCATTAAGAGGTCACTGGTTCGATTTCCGGTCAGGGCACATGCCCAGGTTGCAGCCTTGATCCCCAGTAGGAGGTGTGCAGGAGTGAAACAATCCATGTTTCGCTCTCATTGATGTTTCTCTCTCTCTCTCTTCCTCTCCCTTCCTTCCTCTCTCTCTAAAAAACCAAAAATCATTAAGAACATATTTTAAAAAAATATTATTCTCCATTAAAAAACAAAACAAAACACTTTGAGTCCTCTAAACATCACCTTGCACACACAGTGAGAAAATACTAAGTGACCCATCTCTGGGTTTCAGGTTATTTAAGATTTTATGCTTATTGAGTAAGAAAAGAAAATATAACCAAAAGTGGGGGACAAGGCTTCTCACAACAGTACTACCCCCGGAACTGCACTCATTCAGAAGCTGTAATAATTTGGATAGACTGAGGCAAAATCTATTTTAAAATTTTAAATCGCATAATTAAGGTGTTGCATATAACAAATTCAGGAAATTTAAGTGTGCTACTTGGCAAGCTTTGATAGGTGTATAGTCATGTAACCACCACCACTATCATAATTTAGAAAATTTCCGTCAACCGAGAAAGTTCCCCTGTGCCCCCATTGAGTCAATCCTGTTCCCTAGCTCCCAACCCCTGGCAACTGTCGACCTGCCTTCTATCATTCTTACATTGCCTTTTCCAGAATTTAATGAAAATGGAATCATATACTAGTAGTACCTAGTCCTCTATGTCTGGTTTCTTCCACTCCACAGAATATTTTGGAGATTCATCCATGCTGTTAGATGTATCAATAGTTTGTTTACTTTAACATATTGCTGAAAAGTATCCCCTGAATAGATATACCACAACCTGCTTATCCATTATCCAACTACAGATATTGGGGTTGTTTCCATTTTGGCTACTGTGAATAAAGCTGCTATGAACATCTGAGTGCAAGTCTTAGTGTCAATAAATATATACTCATTTCTTGGTTAAATATCTAGGAGATTTTGGGGGCAAGTATATGGTAAGTGTATGAATCTATTAGTATATATATAAAAGGCTAAGCGACCATGGACCGCCCGACTGTCTAACCAGTAGCTATGATGTGCAATGGCCACCAGGGGGCAGATGCTCAACACTGGAGCTGCCGAGAACCTGAGAACGGCCCTCTTGCAATCCGGGACCCCTCAGGGGATGTTGGAGAGCCAGTTTCGGCCCGATCCCCGCAGGCCAGGCTGAGGGACTCCCACCTGCTGGAGGGACCCCGCTTACTCCGCAGACACCCTTTGAGCTGCAGCGCTGCCCCAGGTGCAGCCGGCCAGGGAGGGACTGCGGGAGGTTGGCTCCAGGAAGTGTCCGGCCTGTCTTGCTCAGTCTGGCCCCTCTGGCCACCTTCTAATTAATTTCCTTTCAATGTGCACAAATCTGTGCACCAGGCCACTAGTATCTTTATAAGAAACTGAACTGTTTTTCCTTCTACATTCCCACAAGCAGTGTATGAGCACTGCACTGTTCTCCATCTTTAGCAATATTTGCTATTATCAGTCTTTTAAATTTTATTGATTCTGGTGGGTGCATGGTGTAAATTTTACTTCTGACTACAGAAAGCATTTATGAATCAGGGGAGTAATTTAAGAAATAAGGGGGGGGGTCTTTAGATATCATTCTAATTGTGAATACTATCTAAGGCAGCGGTTCTCAACCTGTGGGTCGCGACCCCTGAAAATACATCCTGCATATCAGATATTTACATTATGATTCATAACAGTAGCAAAATTACAGTTATGAAGTAGCGACGAAAATAATTTTATGGTTGGGGGTCACCACAACATGAGGATCTGTATTAAAGGGTCGCGGCATTAGGAAGGTTGAGAACCACTGATAAGGAAACTGCTTTGTTAGTAAACTAAGGGCTTCTCAGGTACTTTTGTTATTCTACTATGGTTATTGTCTGTAACTAAAATGAAACCACCTCACTGATAAACTTCTGTAATTTTTCACTAAGTCACACTGCCTTAGTTTTCTGTGGCTCCGGTGATAGATTACCACAAGCTGGGTGGCTTACAACAATAGAAACGTATTCTCTCACAGTCCTGGAGGCCAAGGTGCCCGCAGGCTATGTTGCCTTCCGAGGCTCTGTGGAAGAAGGTGCCCTTGCCCCGCCAAGCCTCTGGTGGCTGCTGGCAGTCCATGGCTGTGGCTGCATCACTCCAGTTTCTGCTTCCATCTTTACACTGTCTTCTCTGTGTGTGTGATTTCCCTCTGCCTCCCACTTGTAAGAATACATGTGATAGCTTTTAGGGCCCCCCTCGATAAATCCAGGATAATCTCTCTATCTCAAAATCCTTAACTTAATTAAGTCTTTTCCCAAATAAAGTAACATTTACAGATTCTAGGCATTAGATCTGATATTCTGGGAGACATTCTTCAGCCCACTAAAGACCACATTAGTATAAATTAGGAGTTTACTGTACTAGTAAAAATGACAGGTGAACACAGTATGCCACCCACAAAACTCACTCCTTTACAGTATCTTGTTTCATCACTTATATGAAGCTGGAGGGTAGGGACAGGGAAATTTCTCTTAGAATAAAGGGCTCTATGTAACTAAATGTGGCTATGTCGGAGTATTGTAATACCAAACAATTCTGTATTCCTCTTTTAGGTTTCAGGCGAAATATTACTTA